TTAATCTCCAAAATGTTATCATTTTGTACCATAAAACTGGTATCTGTCTACAATTTTTATGCAAAAAATTAGTTAAGGAATTCCTTCAGTACTTCTCCCTTCTTAAAAAGGGCTTTCTTCTTTTCCCCTCCTAGGATTTTGGTAACAGTTTTAAAAAAAGGCAATGAGTGAAGGATTTTTTTTACCGTTGAATCTTCCCTGAATTCTAACTATTAAAGATTTAGTTTAGGTTATTAAATTGTGTACACGCAGTACAAATAAATTTTTGTGGCATAAACCGCTTTATCGTAATACTATTTTTTAGTTTATCTAAGTTGTTTTTTAGTTAAATGCCAGCTCTGTTTGACAATTAGTAAACCAAGAATGCTTATTAGGTTTATTTTCTCTTCTAAACTCTTCAGTTATGTTACTGAAAGTAATACTTAATTCTTTTTAAGAAAGACTAGTCCCTTCACACAATTTACTAAGGAAAGTAATGGTCCAGCCTCTATTTATCAATCCAAAATGCTCTCTGCTTAGTAAAAGGAAAGGACAATCCTAGAATTATCTAGCAAAGCTTAAGACTTTAAATTCCTTTTCGTTACTAAACTGTAAATTATCAGAAGAAATAATTCCATAACTTGTAAAGATAGCGGGTGATGTAATTACCCTTCAAAACTTACAAAAAATAATTTCTATATTTATGAGTTCAGTACATTTTCCCACATATCAGCTTAACAAGTTAAGACTAAAGTAAGTAATAACATAGCAAAAACTGTTCAAAGGAACAACATCTTACTATAAAGATTAAATTTTTTAAACTCTCAAGATACAGAACAAATTATCTCGTTTTTAAAGCAGTTCCCGATATAAACAACATAAGTTTAGTTTTAGTATGTTTTATATTATTATAACTCATTACTGCTATTACTACTTAATAGTAATTATATTTTGTTAATAGAAAGTTATCTTGATAGCAATGCAGATGCTGCGCTTTTAAAAGGAGATGGTCTTGACCTTCCTGTTTGCATTGCAATGGGTTACTGCATGCAGAGATACGCCTTAAAACTTTCTGAAATCTTTTCGTACATACAAAAAAGGATCCCCAATTTTTCACCGAGTTTGTGTAAGTTGAGACTCTATTCTTTATAATGTTTATGAACTTAAGTTATCTAAGGAACACATACAAGTAAAACGAAAGTTCTTAATATACGCAGAAAACATATTTGAATTTGCTGTTTTTCCTTCGCACTAACCAATTGCTTATAGCTCTGCTTTTCTGCTACACTTTTCAGTCCTTACAGTCAGTCATATCTCTCAGGAGTTTGTAGAATGTACACTTAAGACTAAGAGTCTATCCTCGACTTTTGAACCGAAAAATATAATATGAAGAATATTAAGTAGACCGGCTTACCGGCCCTTAAAGAAGTTCTTTGATAACCTCCTTGTTTTTCTTGTTAGTTATAAATACATTCACCCTTTCAACGAGAAGAAAGATAGTCGAAGCAGTGAAGAGTTTATTAAAATTTATTAGAAAAACGTCTACCTAAATAAGTAAAAAGAATTAAAAAAGGTCGGGAGGATAATTTGCAGCGATACCAGCGTTAAAAAGTAGTTGTCCTTTAATATGGTCATAGTATAAAACTTTTGATTCAATCAAGCGCAAACATAACTGGTGCTATTCCCCCTTTTGTTTGATTTTTTTCAGCTGGTTTTCATTATGAGCTAAGTCATTAAGTAAAAAAACTTCTCTAAATCTAACCACTTTAAGTTAACTGATAAATAGAATTACAATTTTCTTTTAATAAATTGAACAGGATTTGACACATTATCCAATACTTTATTCTGGAATTATACAATCTCAAAAGAAATTAAGGAAAGTTAAAATAGTTTGTACGCTATTCTTTTTTAATTGTTAAAATTATTTGCTTATGAAGGACTCTTAAAAAGAGAATATATCTTTTCCCCACATAACTTTAGTTTAATAGTTTAATATTATTACTCCGAAACTTACAGAATCAGACAGTCTTAATAAGAATATTTTATGGTTTTTGTTAACTAAATCGCAACCTGCTTGCAGTAGTTAAGTTCCTTTTAACATTTTTCAGGATTACATAAACTGCTATGAAAATTTTTTTAATGCACTTTAATCGACCAAAATCATTATACTTAATATACATAGATAAGTTAACCTAAATTTGGTTTCCTCTTAACACCTGCACTTATATTTAAAAAGGTTTTGTAGCACAACTCCAATCCTGGGAATTTGAAATCTCTCAGCAAAAAGATTCTTCGTTCTTAGCTTCTTACATAGCGGAGCAAGTAAAAGAACTAAGCCATAAAAAAAAACAGGTAAAGTTATAAATTTTCTATATAGTGAAATTTAGCTTTGAAGAATAGATAATTAAAAAACGTTTCGTAATTAACATATATTTGTGTACCGGAGATTATTAAAAGTAATTACTATTCAAACATTGCGCAGTGTTTTTTTGGAGGATATTATACTTTTAATTCAATTATTCTCTACAGATTCAAAAAATTCTTGAGGAAAATAATAATAATGTTAAGGAGATGATGAACACCTTTTTTCCTTCCTCCACAGTTGAACAAAAGACATAGACTTAATAAAATGAGTTTACCAGAATTAAATTATAACAGCTATTAAGTTTAAATGATTTGTAGCCTAGTATTAGACAGGACGCGGAAGGCCCATAAAAAAGCTCGGCGTTTACTACGCATTTATAAAGGTTTCACAAGGACGACATGTCCAATGAAAAAGATTGGAGTGAAGATTTTATCTATTAAATTAAACGATAACTATGAGAAAAATGGTAAGGGGCGTGAAACGAAATACTACTTTGATCTCGGAAGATGTTACTGGCTGTCCAAAAAACCTAGTCTTCCTTGCTTTTTGAAGAATGCAAACAGATATTTGAGATCGTAAAAAAAAAGAAAAAATAGCATTTATATATAAAAAAGTAAAGAGTAGTAGATTCAGAAAGGAAATAGTGGATATAATTGTTAAACAAAGGGGCTCACCAGTCGCCCTAAACCCCCCTAAATTTTGATAGTTTATAAAAATGAAAAATACTAAATCATTTGCATAAATTATTTATAAAATTTAATTGTGTATGAGGCCCGTGAAGCAATATGTGCTTTTTTATAACCCTAATAATAATAATAAAACTATTCCCTGGTGGTTTAGAAGGAAAGAAAAAACGTAAATAGTCGAAATCTAAGAACTGTAACAAACGAAGGACTTTCTAAAAACCTTAAAACTTTATGAAAATAGTAAAATACTTTGCGGTATATAAAATTTCATATCTAAATACTAACAAGCTTTCTTTTTTAACTGTTATATGTATTCTTTTTGTTTGTTAGTTGAGCTGGTGTGGGTTGTTCTCCTCAGGCGGCTAAAAAATTTCAAAAGAAATTATTGTTTTTTTATTTACTACAAACCTATTTTATACTTTTTGCTTATCCACAATATATATTTTCGGAAACGTTAAGCTTTTAAATTCGACACTATTCAAGAACCACTCATAAGCTCGGTAAAGATTAACTGGCGTATTGAGTATTTAGTTTTTAGTGGCCTTAACTCTATACTTCTCCGCGAGCCACAGTAGGAGGAAAACTTATTTTATGTATTCAACTGCATATTTTCAATCCATAAAAGAATTTTAGTTTTTCTGGATGTGCTCGTTCTGTTGTATGCCACATTACTCACTTATTAAGAATGAAAAAAGGTTTACACTCAAATATCACGTATTTCATTATAAATACTTTTTTTTTGAATAATACTTAAATTTAGTCAAAACAAATACTTATCAGTAAGTACGATGTGTTCCTGTATCTTCGCTTGCCCTGAAGTTAAAGTTATATTTTTAATTTTTAAAGTAAAGGTTTGTTCCCAAGAAAGCCACAAGTATAACAAACAGTTTTTTAACAGCAAGTTAAAGACCAAGTATAAAGTTGTATATGTTATTAAGAATATATAAAATTAGTAATAAAGTAAACTTTGTTTAGTATATTCACTGCAAAAACACTACTTTGGTGTTATATTAAAATGACTAAAAACTCTATAAATAGTATCATATAATACAGAGCAACAAAAATGGAAAAGAGCGCTAAAATAGTAGGGTAAAAATTTGATATATGTTATTTAACTTTTGTATGGTTTTCGGTATAGTTAATAAAAAAAGTTGTATATTAATAAAGATTAATTATTATGTTATTTTTATTCTATAAAAAATTTTTTTAACAATAAGTAACTTTTTCTTATTATCCTATTACTAGTCCAATCCTTTGGTTAAAGTCTACAGGTCTATATGTTCACTTTAGCTTTTCCTACGGCGAAGTAAGCGATTTCTCCTTTTAATTTTGTTTAGTTTACACGTTGCGTTCGGCTTGAAATAAGAAAGCTTAGTATATGCTTATCTCATGAAAACGATAAATTATCGCTTCTTGTTTATCATCAAAAATAACTCATAACAAACACTTTTAGCTATTACCAAGTAAAAACGATAAAAGTTTGCCTTAGAATTTCAAGTTCGGTATTTTATTAGTAACAGTAAATATTGTAATAATCAAATAAACAACCTTTACCTATAAAAAAATACAAAAAAAAGTTTTGCAATCTAAAAAAATTCTATTAAACTAGTTTAATTTTAAATATAAATATCAATAGTTCACAATTTTATATTAAACTTTATTATGAGGAGGCCTGCGCTTAAATAGTTTTCTATAAAGCTTTTTCCCCTAACTATTGCATTCTCGTGTAAGAATAGCACAATATTATAAATAAAAAGCCTTGCAGACCAATTTTTTTAAAATTCCAAGCTATTGTTTAAATACTTTAATAACGTACTATTTGAGTCAATTTTCATTATCCTAACATTTTTCATGAATTATAATTTGTAATATACTACTTCCTATACTTTTTTTAAGCCTTTATAATCATCAGAAAAAACATAAGGATTAAATTTATTCAATGGGAAAATTATAAACCGATCCACAAAATTTTAAAAAGGCGAGTATTCCACTGCTTTACTTTTTAATTGTTCGTACTTTAGCATGATTACATCATTACTTTCAAGTTCTTCCCAGGACACTTCTGAAGAGAAAAATAAATCTTCAAAACTGCTAATTGCCTTGAATTTAATAAGCAAAATTAAAAATCGAGTGGCATAATTAGTAAAATTTGTTATATTTTTTATACAGAAGGCATCAAGGAGGGCCACTTTTTCAGATGCAAAACATACAGATAGACCCCTAAAAGGGATAAACGTTTGGCCTCGTGGTCATTGGACTTTTTAAAATGTTGCGCAAAGCGAGTTACTCTTTGCAGAATCTTAAAAGTTTTTTAAAAAATTAATATATAATTAAAATAAAATCGAAAAATATTTTAAAAAAACAATTTAATGAGCACACCGCCTTTTCATTATCAATTTCTGAAGAATTTTTTAATAAAGTAATTTCTAAATTTATATAAGCGGTGAAGGCAGTTTCGTAAATCGCTTTTAAAGAAGTGTAGGGAACTGCGCAGTAATCCGACAATTCTTTAAAAAAAAGCCGCAAGCGAAGTAGAAGAGTTTGCAGACTTTCACTATTTTGCAAATGTTCCAAGATGGCGATATAAAATCTCGTGTACTTTTCACATCTGAAAAAAAAAAATTTTATATAGAAGGTTTTCGTTATTATAAAAGTTTTTTTTATAGAAAGTAAGACAGATTAATCAAAAAAATTTAAAGCAACCTAAAAGGGATTAACACTTTTTAACTTAATTATACTGAAATAAGTGTAAATAACAATGCAACTTATAATAACTTTAGAATGAAAATTTAATTAAAATAATAAATTCAAAATAAAAATAAGCAAATTTTTAAAGCTAACAGAACTAAACTACAGCATAGCCTCACAGTTGCAGTAAGTCCTTTTATATGAGTGAAGAATATAATTCGCTAAGAAAAACAATTTAATAGCAAAAGTCTATATCTTTTAGAACTAAAATAATAAAAGTTTTATATAAAAGATTTAACACGTGCCTAATCAAATGTGAGGCCGGCCGATCTACAAATCTTGCAGACTCGGTGATTTCCATTAAAGACTGCCTCACGATTTTGCCTTCATCGTCGAAGCGCCAAATATACCAAATAACTTTCTTTCTGATATCAACAAGTTTTTCCATAAAACTCTATTTACATATTAATTCAAGAACAAATTAAATTCCCAAAATGTTATAAATAAATCAAAAAAGAATTAAAAATCCGTTAAATAACAAAAGTTGCTAAAAAATTAAGAGATAATTTATTTAAAAATTAAGAATTTACAATTAACAACAGATAATTTAAGGGAACCTTAGACGAGTAACTTTTATAAGAAACTCAGAAAAAACAATTTATAAAAGTTGACCTTGGCAAGATCCAATGAAAAGTGTGTCGGGCAGTTGTAGTGAATCCAAGCAACTTTATAGATCGCTTTATGAAAAGGACTAAACACGAGTAATGAGTAAAATTAAAAAAGTAATAAGTATTAAATAAAATTAAAAAAAAATTATAAAAACCCAACTTTTCTAGGATTTAAACTTTTTATTATAAATTAAAATAAAAATCGAAAGTCTTGAAAGGAAAAATTATTTTATATATGTAAATCATCTGAGAAGATAAATTCTATTTAACTAAAAATAAATAAACGTTATTATCATATAAAACTTAGAGTATTTTTTATTTTTATATAATACATAATAAAAATTAAACTTTTCAAAAATATCAATTAAAATATAATTAAATTTTACAATTTAAAAAAGAAACCTATAAAAAAAATTTTTAATAAAATTAAATTAAATTATTAGCTTAAGGCTATAATACAAAATTTCTGAACCTGAAAAAAATAAATTTTATTAAGTAAAAAAAAAAAAATTAAAAGAAATATAATTATTACAAGTAAATCATAACTAAAAATTTTCTATAATATAAAATTATGACTTTACAAAAATAGAAAAGTGTAGAATAAATAAAAGGAAAATATAGAAAAAATATAAATCTTTCCATGTAAATCATAACAAAAAGTAAACTTTTATATATAATTATGTTGTTCTAAAAGCCATTATAAAATTTTTAAAGATTGAAATAAAAGATTAAAAACTTTTATATACATAAAATCATAAAAAAAAGATTTCTTTAAATAAAATTGAACTTCTTATAACTAAAAAATTCTTTAAAAAATTATAAATTATAAATAATAAAAAAAGAAAAATTAAAAAAATAAATTATTTTGATAATTAAAAAAAAAATTATAAATTTTAATTTAAATTGATGATTTGAGTAGTAAAAAAATAAAAATAAAAAAAGGACCGGAGCTTCGAGTTTTGGCGTCGAGTGTTCAACTTTTCACACTTTAAAAAGTTTTTTAAAAGGGAGTTAACAAAAATTTCTTCTATAAGAAAAACAGTTAAAATAGAAAATATTTCTTATAGAAAAAGTTTAACGATCCAACAATAAAGTCGTTAAATAAAAGAATTCATAAAAAAATAAAAATATAATTTAATTTTTTTGAGTAAAAGATTACTGATCATTATAAAGTTTTGCGAGCAGTTCAAGTCTAAAATAAAATTTACTATAAAAAAACAATAAAATAAAAAATAACTTAAAAGTAAATTCAAAGAAAACTAATACTTTTTCTTCAATTATTATCAAAAAACATAAATAAGAGCTTTGACAGTTTTTCTGTTAACAAGAAATTAGTAAAAAATATGAAATAAATTTAGAATCAAAATTTTTTTATTTCTATTTCTAATTTTTTCTATTATTAAAAGTTGATATTATTATGATTCCCGAAAGAACTAAAATTTATAAGCAAATTAAATTATGATTTTCACAAAAAGGAGTAAAATCTTATTAGCAAAGCAGAAATAAAAAACATACACACTTAAGGGATATTAAGCTAAAAATAATTCTATAAATAATACGACCTTCTTTTCGAAATAAAAAGTTTTAGTAATAATAAAATATAATACGATAAAATAAAAAAAATAATAATTATACCTTTATTTATTACGACAACTTAGAAATATAATATTTTACTTTATTTTAAGTTAATGCCGAGATTATATAGATACGCATAACAATAATAATAAATTCTTAAAAAAAATTACTACAATACGTGAAAAAAATAGTAAAAAATATTATTTATTATTTTGTGGCGCAATTAATAATAATAAAAAGTAAAAGAGTTTATAAAAAACGTTCAACCAGTTTTTTTCGCGTACGTAAAAAAAAATATACAAAAAAGTATTTCTAATAAATTGTATTATTAAAAAATAATTATTTACATAAATATTATTATTCATAGTAAAAATTTCTAGTAAAAGTGTAAAAAAAGTTTATGAAAATACGTCCTACCATTTTTTTCGGCATATTCAAAGCTACTCTCCAAAATTTCATATTCTACAAATATTATTGGTGTAATCAGTTCAGTAAAGATTTAAAGAGTTGCTGAAACAAAAAGTACCGCTAAGCCGCAATTTATGTAAATTATGAATACTTTTACGATTTTAATAAGTGAAAATAAAATATTCATATATATAATAATAAAAGGAAAAAATTTGAGCAGAGCCTTAAAACAAGTTAAAATTTTTTTTAATATAGTAAAAAAAATAAATTCAACTGTTGGAAAAGCTATAAAAAGGTACTGAAGAAAATATGTAGTTTAATAATAGTAACAACTGAAATACTTCGCTATAAATATATATAGAAGTTGCAATTTTAGAATTTTTACGATATGAAAAAAAATAATAAATAAAGTTTATGAAAGGCAAGAATTTTTGTGATATATATTTATTGAAACTCTTCTTTAAAAAAGTAAAAATGGTTTATAATGAAACCCGCTAGAAGTAAGCAAGCCTCCTTTAGCGCCACAGTTCCAGCAACCCACAATTTCAAAATCAAGGAATTTAATGAATAATACGAGTCCAATGCCTGCGTTGGTCCATCTTTCGCGATTTTTAATGACTTATAAAAGGCATTAAGAGCTTCACAATATTCTCCGACGCGTTTATGTGCCTTAAAGTAAATATATAAATAACACTGATAAATGTTTAAAAGAAAATTTCTGAACATTACTTTGCCTGACATGTAATACACCCGCCAATCATTTTCATAGAACTCCGTCACTGTACTAAATATAAAAATTCATTATCAATAAAAATAAAGTCAACGAAAAAATAACCGAAATAGAACAACAGGAAGTGTAAAGTTTTCAAGCATGCTTCGTATTTTTGTTGACCGCGGGGTCAAAGGCGCTTTTAAAGTACTCATAATAACAAAAACAATAGTGATTATCACCATAAGAACCATCAAAACACAAAAGGTAAGTTCTACGGCTTTGACAAATATAATAAAGCATAGCAAGTTGGAGGTAATGGTAAGCAAAAGCGTCTTTTTTATTGGTTATTCTAATATCATCTGTAAAATAATTAAAACAAATATAAAAAAACGTTATTTAAATATAAAAAATTGATGGATAAATAATGATGATATAGTGAAAAAAAAATAAAAGGAGTTAAAATTAATGCAGCAAAAAATGTTGGGGTTAATGCACGGCAAGCTCGCCTCTTTATATTTTTTGAATGGTTTTGTAAAACAAAAAAAGTGTTCCTATTCGGCACTCTTTTTTTAAAAACCACGTGGTGGTTGACATCAATATACTTTTATTAAAAGGAAAGTGTAGGAAAAATTTTACAAGAGTAATATTTTATTTAGACCATCACAATAATTAAATAGTATTAAGTAAAATTACAATAAAAGTAAAGAATATACTATAACCGGAAAAGTTTGACAGTAAAAAGATAGCTTGTGTTAAGCAGCAAAAAGCACAGAAAAAATGCTCCAACGTTTCCTTTTTCATTAAAAAAAATTATTTAACAGCATTAAAAACCCCTCCAATGGAAAGTTACTGCTAAATTGTAGGGGTTGTTTTCAGTACAAATACTGAATAAATAATTGTACAGCATATTGCAGTGAATCTGTAAGTTATTATATATAAGCAAAAAACGTTAGAAAACTTTAATACATGCATTAAAAAATACCAATAACACTAATTATTTATATTCCTACTCCTATAGAGAAGCGAAAACCGACCGAGCACGTAAGTAATAAAACCAGAAAAATATAAAAAAATTTTCAATTGCCTTTTTATACTAAAATAATTTTTTTAACAATAATGGAAATAATAAATAAAATATAAAGAAATACGCAAGACAAAAGTTTCCACGAGTCGACTCTTAAAGGATTCAAGGATAAGTCGTGTCTTAAGCAGTTGATGATTTTCGTGACTTTCTTGCTCGTTATTACTTTCATAAATAATAAAAAGTATAAATATATTGATTTATAAAGTAGAAGCCAGAAAGTAATACATGCATGTTTTTGTTTGTTATTATGTTTCATTTTAGGAAAAACTAAAAAAAAATTTCTTATATTCTTATTATTGTCTTTAAAAAATA